AAAATTGCCATTATCTAAAGAAAAAGAACTGATATATAAATAAGTATTTATTACCGGAGAAGTTGTTGTATGTTTTAGTTTCGATACCCTTTTTTGTAATCCATATGTAGGTTGTTGTCACACATGACCTCGCTGAACTCTATTCTGTATGCTAAAACTTACAAAGCAGTACTGGTACAACAACAGTGTTAGTTTAGTAAATGTAAACGATAATTTATTTATTTATTTATTTATTTATTTATTTATTTATTTATTTATTTATTTATTTATTGAACATATCTTGAACGCAAAGGCTCACGGGTACACGCTTGTTTGTAAACAATGCGCATGCGCATGCGCAGGTGACGACTCCCCGCTTTAAATATGTCATAATATTTGAACTCTGTCAATGAACACCATCTCATTACTATGCAAGAACCAAAGCTCCAGATGATAAATGGTGTGAACTTGATGATGAGTATTTGATAGTGCAGTTCTGATGGAACTTATATATTTACTATTTTATGAAATTAGGCACCAACGTTTTCTGTAGAAGTGTTTGTGTAAAAGCTACGATCATAAAAGCTACGATTATCTTATTGTGTGCGATAAAACTGATATAATTGGTAATTTATTTTCTTGACAAGGTTAAATGGGAAATATCCACTCGAATGTCCGTTTGCTAATCACCATGTCTCGTCAAACATAAACACAACTGCAGCTCAAGCAACCGTTTGACGAGCGCCCTGTCATTCATACTTACGCTACGCTCTCTCAAAATAGTTTAAACTCTACCATTTAAGAAATACACACACTTTTAACACAGAAATATACGGAAATTTTCCCCTGATAATTATTTCTCGAGGCGAGCTGAAAGTTAGAAGAAGAAATCTATTCAACACGTATTTTGAAAATGGCCGCCAGTGATAGTGAAGCTTTGCGATATGGGTAACAAAGAAAAACATTGTTTCCATGGAAACAAATTCGAGTATCTAAATCCTCATTTGTATTTAATAGTTGCCACGTATGAAACAGGCTTCCAATCAGTGAAGTATCAAAACATGTATAGTTTTTTTTTTAAATTAATAATCCGAATAATTCTGTCTTTACTCGTGGTAACGCATTTACATGTCCCTTTTCTTCCTTAATTTATTCCGGCGCAAAAATAGAAATGAACATCCTAGTATTTACTAAATAATGCGTATCAATGACAACCTCGACACGTATTTGAGAGTCATGATTTTTGTAACAGACTAGGTGCAACGGTGTTTCCGTTTTAGCAGACGAAAAAATAAATACATGTAGTGCATTAAATAACATTTTGCTATGGGTAGTATTATATTTGGACCGGGCGAGAAGCGACTCGAGGTCAGCTTGGACATGTACGTTATGAGTTAATTGTGAATCTAACTATTTATGAGTGGTGTTTTCCGAATTTCACCGTACCATACGTCCATGTGCGGGGTGTATGACAATGGACAGACACTCATTGTTAGGGACGCGTGAAGTGAAGTAGTACTTTATGCGTGAGTACTTCAGGAAATAGAGGAATAGGAATGCCAACTTGAACTTGAATCCAATCCGATCATTTCGTTTGGATTTGAATGAGATTGGTTTCAATAGAAAAAAAAACGTTGGGCTTATATATTGCTATGGGGCATATTTACAAGAATTAAACACGCCCTTGCCGACTTCAAAGTATTTGGAATTATTGAAAGTAATATACACAACATTAGGAAAATACTTGGTGCATTTTGTTTTCTTTCGAACACCGTTGACTCTTTCTACTCAGGAAATAACTTGATCACACTGAGTTCTGGAGATGTTTTAACTCCACGTTTGAAAAACATCGGTGTACTCAGTATAGCTGAATTCCAGGCTACCCCCTCCAAAAAAATAAAAAAATAAACAGTGTACCAACAATAACGTTTTTTTCAACTTGTAACCCTCTTCAATGGTCATCGATATGTGTTATCACTATATGTTTCAACAGCGCATTTAACATTTTGGAATCGTGGTGTGCGTGATGGTAATACCTAGTGCGTATTTGTTCAGTATTCAGGTACCCCAATACTTGCCCAAAAAAGAAAAAAAAACACTGTCACACAACCTTTTTAACTACAGACGTTTGCTTCTGTGGTTTATTTACAGTTCATTGTACAGTTCACCTCTGACATGCTAGCGCGTTGAGCCAATAAATAATTGTTTAAAACTCCCCTTTATACTTTCGACATTTTACTATTGCTGAAAACGTATTTTTCACTTCTATTATAATAATTATTATACTAGAAATATTTATTTATATATGGTCTTTATTCACAGGTGATTACAAAAACAAAGAACATTTGTGCGTTTGTATAGTAAATATTACAATAAATCTGAAATTTCGTACCTAACATTTAATGTATAAAATACATATTCACCAAGGCATATTCACCAAACACATATTCACCAAAATGACATCGTTATGTGATTTCATTAAAAGAATAAATCTGTTGAAAGGCGGTGGATCATAGAAATAACAGGGTAGATATCTATCACGAAATTCATTATAAAAAGGGCAGACTAACAGGAAGTGGAACTAATCTTCTAGTTGGTTTGTTTCACAAAGTTTACATATCCTTTGGTTACTTTCGATTGCTCCTCCACTTACTTCAATGCGAAGACAGTGTGCCGAGCAGCGAAAGCGTGATAAGGCATTTTTGTATGTAAAATAACAGTCATGGAAGTGATATATTTCTCTAATATTAGATTTGTTTTAAATTCACGATATGTATCTAATTTAGTCATGGTACAAATATCACTAAACCACTCACTGTACAAATAGTTTTTAAATCTTTCGCAGAAAATTTCCACGAATAAGTTGATATTACCAACTTCTTGGGAATACCAAGATATTGACGGAGATATTGACCCGGTGGACTTTAATATCTTGCAGTGGTCGTTGCTATGGCTTAACATGTCAGTAAAGGCGTTGAACTCAAATGAACTTTGCATCCAAGCTAGCCCAACTTACCTGATCGCTTTGAAGCGAATCTGGCGAACTTTCATCGACACCGCACCAACCGAGAACAACTTTAATCAGTTGTGGCATTTCGTAATCTTCGAGGAAGTCCTCGAGGGTCAGAGTCTTTTGCGACCATTGTATGTGTTTTCCTTTTAATAATGTCCCTCTGTTCCTCCGTCTTCTGTACACACTGTTCATCTCTATCGCGTCTGCCACCGTGACGGAACGCGAGATATTTGCCCGAGCTAACCGTAAGCAATTTGCACAAGAACCCTGGAGAAGTCGCCTTTGAAAAATAACAATCGAACTCTGAATAACAATACAGGTTGACATTTGAACCCGGAAATAAGGTAGAAAAATACGCAAAGTGGAATTGAGCTCACTGTTCGGTTTATCACGTGACATATTTGACTGAGATAGACGTTTTTCTTTTCTTTTCTTTTTGATATTTTGTTAACTTTACTCGTGAATTCATTACTTTTTTTGCGCTCGATACCTGACTTGGCAACCAGAAACGCGACGACCCTCGCACCCTTTTCGCATTTTCCCATGGTACACAGTATTAAAGTAAATCATTTGAAACTAAACGTATCAATATAATACCGATTGTAAGTATCATATGACTAGTGATTCAGCAAATCTGACAAATCCTCATGTCCGTTTACTACGTAAACAGGGACAACATTACATTTCCTTCTGGGACGAGGTTGAGAGGTTGAACTGGATGAACTGAATAGTGCAGGTATGCAAATGAACTGTTACAGAGTCCACCTGGCTATTGTTTGAGTTACTTCCGCGTATATTGTCACTAAAACTATACATCGCACACAATTGACATAAGATTTTATTTTAAGCAAAGCGACCAGCAGCTCGGAGTGATACGAAGTTTTTATTACCAAATTACTAGTTGAAGTGAAAAGGTGCACGGTAAGTTTGGAGAACAGTAAGTATGGTTATATTTTATTAACTACCGCCCATGTTGTACACGTTTACGTAATGGTACTGTTACGAATTCGAACCCACTCTTCCCGGGGTGATGTTATCAATGCAGAACACTATCATCATATTGCAAACTATCGTTTTAGCAACAACGAATTCACCTTCCCCTTCTACACTATAGACTGAACTCACCATGACCGATGCAACGTTCATCTTACTTGTTTTTAACTTATAAGCGGGTTTGAACAAGGACTGCACTGTGTAATGATACTTCCGTGTAAATTTGTCAAAGTCTCCTTGGCGCATATCAATCATGTTTTGCAATACATACTGTATCAATTGTAGAAGTTAAGATAAGATATACAATGATAAACAGTATTTATTATATTTGTAGCTTCACGGTCAAAGGTATATTTATTTAATAAATAATGGCGTTATCTCTGTTTATAAATTTCGTACTAAATACACGATCAATATTTTCGATCGAAGATTTTAAATCCTTGATATGATATATAGTTGATATTAGATTACGTATCATTTAACAAAAGACAGAATCCGGCGCGATGGCGTCCATCAGCTTTAGCTGTAATCCAGTCCAGTGTTTCACGTTAGTCGGACAATATTGTGCTTTTATCGAACCTCGCAATAAAGGGCCGACAACTTGTACTGCTTCTGTTTTGTCCTGCGTTAGTATATTTTATTTCATGTTATACCGAACCCAACTGACCTGTATAAAAATGTTAGTGGGTCTTAGGTAGTCAGACATTACACACGTGTCTGAACAAATCATGCGATTACCATCTGTGTAGTTTCATTGACCTGACGTGTAGCTCTGTGTAAATCGACCATTTTGTTTTGCGGACATTTATATTGTGTCAGTGCAACAAACAGTTATTTATGACTGGATAATGGAATGTATAACAACGACCCTCCTTATAATAAAAAAAAAAGCGCGATAAAAGGGATCTATGGATGGAGAACTGAAAACGATTATTACCAATAAGCCATCATAGAGCATTTAAAGGGTGGCAGTCGTCGTGCCGCGTCCTGTTCGATATAGGACTCATAGCGACGTATACAACGCGTGTAAAATACATTGTTTATTTACATGAAATTCGAACACGCGCTGCGCGACGATCACCGCGCTTTAAAGGTCACACAACCTGGCACTTTAATATACCTCCGTTTGTAATTGGTTAAAACATTAAATGTTATTGATAGTTAAATAGTACTCTGGACCACAGAGCACCAGGAATGTTTGGCGTGATTGAGTCAACTATGCGGCGTGTATGTAGTACAATACTAGTATCTGAGTCGAGTGTTGAATGGATTTTCGCGTGACTTTCTTCAGTTCATTAGTATGGCAGACGTGTCCTCCATACATACAGCAATAGTTCTGTCTGTGAAAAATACATTATTTGTCTACAGACATCCGTAAACCACTGTTCAAGCTTCGACCAGTTTCCTCGGGGCGGAGCTACGTCACAAGACGTTCCACGTTGCTAGGACGCGCATCACTGTACCACGTATTTCTATGGGCTCTGCGCGCGCTGCTGGGAAACGCAGAACGCCGAGCGAAGAGCCGGTGAAAATTCGAGAAAACAACAGGAGCTCAACTTTGAAGTAACCCTGAACAATCAAATTTGTATGCGTTACACACGCAGGGCTAATCTTGTTACACTGTTCAGGGGAGTCTCAACAACCATTTCAAAGTTTCGTTTTCTGAGAGTTTTTGACCTTTGTTTACACCGTGATGGTTGCCATGCGGTGAAAATGCCCGGATGTCCGCCGCCGACAATTGATTGTAAACGTGATTTCACTTGACAAACTTGACACTTGACAGTGTTATTCAACCGGACAAAATCAAAATGTGGAAAGAAATGAGCGCTTATGCCAATTATGCAACCTGCATGAAGTTGAAAATAAGTATCATTTTGTGATTGTGTACCCTTTTTATTAATTTAAAAAAAAGGAAATGTTAACCAACCACAGATAAATGTATAAAATTGATGACGTCAGTGGATGCAAATTCGCTTGAACGGTTGTTGAACGGAAGTTATATAGGTATCACGTGACAAATCTAAGAGATTCTGATACTAATTTTCGCCAAATTTGATTTTTTTTGTATTATTATTTGCTGTGTATTTTGGCCCACTGGCCATGTAGTACAAATAAAGACCAACGAAAATGATTTTTGGGTTGTAAACACAAAATAATCTTATTTGATAAATTCATTTTTTTTTTACATTTTGCAAATAAATAAATAAATAAACGGTTGTTTGATTTACTAAAATTGCAAGTACGTACCGCTAATATTAAAGGGGCACTTCCAGTTAAACCTAATCTCACAACAAATTTACTTTCTGGATTAAAATTACAATGGATAACAAAAGATAGATTAATTTTGTAAACAACATAAACAATAGTGTCCCATGATTCCTTGGTGCAATCCCTGGGCTTTTAAGAGGGGTTATGCATTTGCATATTAATTAATTTATTGAATAATTATTATGAGTTGTTATCAGAGCACATCACACAACCAATTCCTACGAACTCTATAAACCTTTGAGCTTAAACTGAACTGTGTGTATCGAGCCAAAAAGAGACCAGGCTGTGTTTCTAACTAGTTATTACCCAATTAATGACCAGCGTTTCGAGTGCCAGTTGTGCCGCTATTTGGTGAATAGCAATTTGATGTCGGTACAGTGAATTTCGTGAATGTATGATTTTTTTTTTATGAAAAATTTATACAATGGAAGATCCCACCCCCACCCCAACGCTTCATTCAACTTATAAAAATAATATGCTTTCATTTCATTTGGTAATGTCCATTGTTCACATGTCTTCAGTTTGTGGGTTTCTTCATTGGCAGATTTACTGTCTTGCGTCAGTTAATGATTGGTCGAGTTGTTTCAGACCGTCATTTGAAATATATATATCATTTATTATTATACAGTAAACGCACGCGGCAGAACCTGTGGACGTTATTAACTTTTTATCAAAATATTTGTGTGTGTAAATCAAAATGCTTCTTGGATTTCAAATCCAGAAATGGTATTGTAATCTTATTATGAGCTCCAATTGGCTCATCAACATTCTATCAGCAATCAGTTTGTTTTTGAATTTGTGGTCGGTTGTAGTTGCTATGTCACCTGAGGGCGTGAGTGTGCTTTATGGGGCGGAGACATGGTTGAGCACTTGAGCCAACCGCTGCCAAATATTTGAAGTTGAATGAAAGATAAAGGTCATATTTACGTTTTTTTTATAAATATGTTTATGAAATAAGATACAACTTTATGCCTTTTACTGTAGGTCCCAATTCCATTTTTTAAAATTTCTCTTCTATATATTATTCTATTGTTTAAACGACTATTGCTGTCACTTAAACTACGACCGTTCGGGGTTTGTGTTTGGGCGTCGGCCATAACGTAAAGTGCGCGAGTCTGATGTGGCTTGTCTTCTCTAATGCCGGTATATGTCTAATGTTTCAAACGACAAGTATTCATATATGAACAATAACGTGACCCGAGTTGACATGTCACGTGACTTAAAACACCTGCCATAATTAGATGATGTTTTAAGGTAGCGAGACTATTATTTGTGTTGAAAATTACGATTTTCACATTTATTTATTAATTGATGAAATAAATAAAATAATTAAATTGGTTAAAATATAGATTTTCTGAAGGGAAGCAAGGCAGCCTCAGTAGTGTTTTCCAAAATCAACAACACAAGTTTAATCTGGATTTCACGGCCAATCAATATAATCAAATTCAGTTTTTTTTCACATAGTTTGGATACCGCCTCAGGTCATAACGTACCTTACAACGTAACGCAGAGAGTTTAAAAGCCGTAAAAGCCTTTCTATTGTGTACCAGTGTTTTTGTGAGTGGTCACGCGGTGCCCGTCAGCATACATTACCGGTATCCTCGGGGACGGACATCCGGGCATTTTCTACCGCACCCTCGCGGTGAAAACAAAGACCAAAAACTCGCAGAAAACGGTACTTTGCAATGGTTGTTGAGAGTCCCCTGAACAGTGTAACAAGATTAGCCCTACGTGTGTAACATATATGAATTTGGTTGTTCAGGATTACTTCAAAGTTGAGTTTGTGTTGTTTTCTCGAGTTTTCACCGGCTCCACCGGCGTTCCACAGCAGCGCGCACAAAGCCCATAGAAATACGTGGTACAGTGGTGCGCGCCTTAGCAACGTAGAACGTCTTGTGACGTAGCTCCGCCCCCGAGGATAGCAAATGCATGGAACTGAGCTAAGTGATTGTACAATCGACCGAAATAAGATCGTCGCCAATCTTGGAATTAAATCGATTGGGGATATTGTAACACACAACGAAATGTAGCGAGGTTAT